ACTTATTTGCCTAGTTATCCAGGCACTGGTTCAGTGAAAATTAAAAGATTTTCGTTTGGGAACATCCAGCAGAGAGAAAAAACAATACATGGATTTGGAGTTAATAGCGATCTCTATAAATATTATCAGGAGTAGATAATAGAAGATATAGATAGAATCTTCTATGATCTACTCCTGATATTATACGGCAGCTGTACTGCAGGCCGCTGCGAGGGTAAGGTATCCTTTGATCGGGACTGCTATAAGTCTATCTAAACCGCTGACATTCCTAATGAGATCGGGATCCGATTAGTGATGGTGGTAGTGGGCCAGACAGGCAGCGAGATGTTGACAGCGGTTGCTGGCGATGTGTGATGCCAAGACGCCAGAGGGCACATGTGTTGACAACGCAGGTCGATGCCCTGCTACTGTGTACATACACGACCAGCCCAGAGTAATGGTGAAATAATAACACCACGTGTACCGGTTACTGGATCTTTATGTAAAACACCATGTTACAGATAGTATCAGGCGTGTCATATCATAATATAGACACTATATCATAGAGTCTATATTATATATATATATATATATATATATATGTTTATATGATAGTCTATATATGTATACTATTATATAGTCTATATTATCAGGAGTGTAAAATAACATAAATCCATGTGTTACCGGGAGTGAGCAAAAACAAATGTGATGTTCTCTATTATATAATTCTACGAAAACATCATATTACAAAATTACGGATAGCACATCCTGCTGCAAAAACACGTTACAGATTAAATTACTATTTACATTACCATGTTGAAAAACAGTGCGTTACACATATATCTTACTATAATTTGGCGAATGTTGTACGTATGTTAATGAAAGGCTCCGTCAGTTTTGATCCAAATAGCGCCAAATTCACAGAAGAGATCGATGAATACACGGGACGGGTTCTAAACTATACTCGGTTGAAAACGCTAAAAAAGGCTTAAAAAAGACACACAAAAAGGCAAAGATTTGCCTGAAAATATAGGGCGCTATATCTTTGCCTTGCTAATATTTCGCCGTCTATGAACGTTGTGCTGTAATATTTCGCCGTCTGTCAACGTTGTGCTGCATGTAAGCCCAATAATGATTTTTATGATTTTTGTAAGCCCAATAATGTAAGTAGAAATAAGCATGTAATAATGAAGTTAAATGTCAAAGTCAAGGTCAATCTCTTCTCTTATCTCTCTGGGTATTGAACAGTCGGTACCACATGCATCACATTCACTACGCCCGCGCTTAGCGCGGGTTCCAGCTATCAGCCTATTCAAATATCAGCAACAGGAAAAAGTTACGTCTAATGAGATCAGACAACGACGTCACGACTACATGACGTCAACAGAACAATTGCGGATCTTCACATCACGTAATAAGCCTAGCTCAGCTGTAATCGGATAATGTTACAGGGACGATCGCTCTTGGCTGCTTTGACGCACCAGACTGATATCCTAGTGCTCGCTCTCTCCCCCTCTCCATCTGCCTCTACCTCTCTCACTCGCGCGCTCTCTCTCTCCCTCTCTCTCTCTCTCTCTCTCTCTCTCTCTCTCTCTCTCTNACACACACACACACACACACACACACACACACACACACACACACACACACACACACACCACCCACCTACTGACACAGCATGATGCAATACTCTTTGCCAGCAGAGAAAAATCTATGCGCCTTACACACGACGCGCGTGGGGGTACCAGCCAGTGGCTGATAATTTTAGAATAATCGATCAGGGTGCTATGCAAGATCGATAAATCGATGGGTGTTTATGAATGCGATAGGCACGTGATACGTCGCGTGGTGTTTGTGCTACATTGGTACGTTTCCATATTGGCTAAAATTCAGGTCACCTTCCTATTTAACTACAAGTACGACTAGAGGTCACAATATTTTATTATAGATCGCATATCTATTTCTTATCACGGGTGTTTGGCTTGGCATGCATATATGTATTAGTCAAAGGCCAGACAGTCGCGAGATTTTTTAGTGCAAATGGGCGCGTCCTCTACGGATGTCGTGACCTATTCCCATTACACAGACAAACATACGTACGTGCGCACGAACGAGCGTCCGTACACATAGACGTACACATGGACGTACACACGGACGCACGCACGCATGCACGTAAACACACACGCACGCAACGCGACGCACAGCTACACACGACACCACACCACACAACACACACACACACAACAGCACCACAACCACATAGGACCAGCCCTCACACACAAGGCCACAGCACACACACAGCACACACACACACACACACCAGCACACACACAAGCCACACACAACACACAGAGACACATCAAACCAACAACGCATGAGATGTAGCGCATACACATGTAATTTAACAAAACAATTACCTTTCATAAATAATTCGCAGCGATACGCCAGCTAACTTTCTCACAGCGTCCGTTCGTCTATATAGGCCGTATATGTAATAGACACGTTATCGAGGCTGACTGCGTGCGATGCGATGAGCTAGGAACTCGCTGTAGAACGTTTCAGCAACCCAACGTGTACAACGCGCAACAGTGTAAGAAATGCTGAACGTAAGCGAAAGCAGACGCCGACGTGAGTTATGACGGATACGTCGGCTCTCATCTTCTATCTCGTCCTCTCTCATCTCGTCAATCTTTCAGAGGCAGGCTAACAGGCAATGCAGAACGATTCGTACGAAACGCGAGCTGACGACAGAATTGCCACACAGGCGCTTCGCAGAGCGGGATATAGACACGCGGCGCGCGCATGCGCTGTCCGTCTGAGTTCTCCGAAGCGTGGTCGATGATGATGGGAAGAGCTATAAGCTCAGCTAGTGCGATCCGGTTCGAAGAAACGACGGGTGCTCACCCTGGCGGTTAGGTCGTTTACAAGCTAAATACTAAGCAGAACCGGTGTTCTGACGCACCGAGTCCTTGAACCTCTCAAATCAACAGCAGCAGCTGGCGCCTGCGCAAAAGTCGTGTCAGGACAACACGTGTTTTTGACGGGGGTTTTTTGTTTCTCCTTGAGCCGCCGAGGCGGGTACTACCGACCCTGTGTTCTACATTACACCCTAGATCCACTCCGCACACACCAATATAGAGCGGAAAGTATAAAGCGAATGGAGTGAAAGCATTTATTAGCCGCGCGTAACCTACATCGCATGCGGGCAGGCGGTGGGCGTTACGTAGTGTCGATCGTGCCCGGGAGAAGATTCAGCTCGCTCCCCTGCTCCGCGTACCTTATAAGCCTTTTATACTACGCCCCGTGTCTCGATCCCATCAACCAGTGTCCCTCTCCCGCCTATCCGCCGCGCCCCACTCCCCTATCTCGCGTCGCTTCATTCCGCTCCACTACGCCTCCGCTGCTCTCCCATATCCCCGCGCCCGGCTCGCCCTATGTCGTGTCCATTCTTTCCGCCTCCCTGACAATCCCCTCACGACCCTCCCCCGTTCCCTCTCCCCCTAATCCCGACGCCCCATAGCCCCTATCTCGTGTCCTTCTTTCCGCATCCCTACGCTCCCCTCTCCCATCCCCCGTGTCTCTACTCTCCCCTATGCCCGCGCCCCTGCCGCCCATATCTCGGGCGTTCTTCTTTCCCTCCACTAGCCTCCCTCAACCGCTCGCCCCGTGTCCTTCTTGCCCTACCCCGCGCCCCTCCCCCTATACTCGCGTTCCTTCTTACCTATCCCTACCTCCCTCACCCTCCCCCGTGTGCCTTACTTATCCCTACACCCGCGCCTCCCCCTATCTCGCGTTCTTCTTTCCGCTCCCTACGCTCCACTCACACCCTCCCCCTGTCCTTACTTTCCCTCCCCGTGTCCCCTTCGCCTATCACCGCGCCATCCCCCCCATCTCGCGTCCCTATCTTTCGCCTCCGCTACCTCCCTCACACCCCCCCCGTGTCGCATTCTTTCCCTCCCACCGTGTTCCTCTCCCCTATCCCGCGCCCCTCCCCCTATCCCGCTTTCGCTTCTTCCTCCCTACTCCCTCCCACACCCTCCCCCGTGTCCCTCTCCACCCCTATCCCGCGCCCCTCCCCTACTCGTGTCGCTTTCTTTCCGCTCCCTACCTCCTCTCTCATCCCCCGTGTTCCTCTCCCCACTATCCCGCGCCCCCTCCCCCTATCTCGCGATCCTTCTTTCTCCCTACCTCCCTCACCCTCCCCCGTGTCCCTCTCACGCCTAAATCTCGCGCTCCTCGCCCCATCTCGCTTTCTTTTTTCCCTCCCGTACCCTCCTCACGGGACCCTCCCCCGTGTCCATTCTGTTCCCTACCCCGGCCCCTCCACCCTCATCTATGTCTCTGCCAGCCGGCCGGCTCGGCAATGATAGCATAGGCACTTTTATGCTGTGACGCAATAAGTTGTCGCTCATTTAAATCCGCAAGTAAACATGTACGACCATCACCCTTACACGCACCATTACCGATACACGCACACAGACAAAGAAGAATAACGACTATTGCATTTCTTCATGCGCGCGCGGCGAGGCATGGTGTCAACAACCCTCAGTCTCATCCACGCGCAGCGCTCAGGATCAACAGCAACGGCTGTGCTAAAGCGCAATCTTGTATCATGTCTCTAGCTGGATACGAACATGTAACCGTAATGTTAGGGTATACTATCTGTGATATATATCAGGAGCTAATAATGACATTATTAGCTCCTGATTATATATGTAATATATCCCTGATGGGATATGCATTTCCATCTGCACGTAGACGAATGGTGAGGTGACGCAGGGGTCGGGCAAGGGTAGGGTCATGTTTCCTGTTTATGTGTGTGCACTGCATGTGCTCTATACTATCAAGAGTACATAATCGAGATCTCTATTATGTACTTTTGATACTATTCGATTATCAAACGAAACGCGCATAAATAGCTCCATGCGCATTCGCGACGTCCGCTTCCTAGCGACCTGTTGCGATTAGGAGAAAAATTGTCGGGTTTTCAAGAACAGGCGCAGGCATCGCACGCCAGCGCAAGCGGACGCACACGCGTACGCACGCACAGCACTCCACGGACCGCAACGGATGCACGAACTGGCAGGCACGCCACACAGACACGGTTGATTCACGGCAGGCACGCAGCAAGCCATGCATGCACACACAAACACAGCACAAACAACCGCACAGCACGCACGCACGCACGCACGCAGGCAAGGCCATGCACGTACACAGGCACGCACGTACGCACGCAGACACCACAGACACTGTGCAAATCTGTGAATTTCGCCGCCAAAAGACTGGATCGCGCTAGTTCAGTGTCAATATAATCTCGGATGCTTACGTAGGCCGCAGTGATTAGTGAGAAGCAGTGATTAGCGATGTTGTTTACTGTCAGCGGATGGAATATATATATATATATATAAAATATATTAATAAATAATAATTTATATATTATATATAGTCACGCTGTATAAGAATGATGATGTCAGGAGATGGATAATAATCGAATTTATTATTATTCGCTCTTGATGATGAAGTTGTTGTTGTTGTTGTTGTTGAGATGATGCTACGAGTGCTGGTACGAGTGCTGGCTGGCTACGAGTGTGCGAATATTGGCCGCAGGCGCACAATAGGCGCTGGGCTGCATAACACGTAGTCCACCCCGCCGCTCCAGCCGCGGCCGGTGCCATCAACGTGCCCGCGGCGTGATGCGTTGCGTCAGTGTGGTGCGTGTCGTGTTTGTGTGTGTGTGTGTGTGCGTGCGTGTGCGTGTATGTGTAGTGTTTGTGTGCGTGCGTGCGCGCGTGTGTGTGTGCGTGTGTGTGTGTGTGCGTGTGCGTGTGCGTGAGCGTGTGCGTGGCGGTGTGGTGGCATGCCACGCGTCCGTGTGCGTGCATGCGGAGACTGCATATATACGTGTGGCATTGAACCACAGGCACTTGGCACGTTTCAATAATAAAATGATGGCAACTGATCTCTTTATAATATATAACAACACCAATTAAGCAAGAGTTATGGCATTATTTATACTAATTTATTTATATTTATTTTAGTTGTTTACTGGACAGGCGGCTTGTGCTGCGGTGTAGCTTGTGTGTTGTAGAGGGCAGCATTTGATCGGCATTTACAGTAAACTATTGCTAATAATAGGCGAAAGAGACACGCTAGAGCAACATTTGAAAGAGCTTTACTAGTAATTAATATTTCACAGTCAAGAGCTAATCTATACAATGTATTAATTAACAAGATAATCCTGGTAACTAACAATACACTTATCAACATACACTGTGTATATGTAGTAGGACCTAACAACTGTGTATTTAAAATCAATATAATTTTCAATAAATTCAATAAAATCAATGCAATAATATTTCAATAAAATTCATTTAAATAATATGTCAGAATCTTCAGAGTTTAAAATTCAAATAAGTAAAACTAATTAAAAAGAAAAAAAAGAAAAAGAAAAGTGTATTGTTGAAAGGGCTAGCATAGGTAGCCTACTACAATACACAGTGTTATTGTTAGAAGGTGTTCAATGCAAAACACAGTGTATTGTTGAAAGCTCGCTAAACAATACACAGTTGATATTGTCCAAACCATTACATTGCTGATATTGTTAGATTACCAGGATTATGCTGATTATTAAGCAGCCTAGATCTCGTGTTTATTCACGCATCATTTAATTTATCCAGAAACTTTTCGCAAAGGCCCGTGCCTTAAAGCTATAAAGCGCTATGATAATGAGGGCCTATGACTATGACGCACGGCCGTGAGAGTGATTGTCATTAGAGGCCACAGGCACTTGGAACGTTTCAATAAAAAAAAGAGGTAAATAATACACGAAATGTACGGCAAAGTCTTAATGTTTCTCTACTCATATTTCCGCCCTATGATCACATGTAAATGCCGGATTCAAATGCTCTATAGCTGCAACACACAAGTGCCACAAGTAGCACGACCGTGTGTAGCGGTGGACAGTGGTGTGCGTGTAGTGTGAGTGTACGTGTGCGTTTGCACGTACGCGCGCGCGTGGGTTGGCATGCGTGCGTGCGGGCGTGCGTATGTGCATGTCTGTCCTTGAGACTAATTCGAGAATCGCGATGTAAACTTTGACGAATGACAACGCTACCGGGAGCTAGGTTAGGCTGGATTAGCGTACACTCTATTCAGATTTATTTGCCATGCAAAGTTATTGCCAGGTTTGTTGGGCCTCCGACCGGTCGCACAGGCTAGAGCCACACAGAGTGCCAACAAACCGACATCCCAACGTGCAGGGAGATAACAACGTCGCTTTTCTTCACGTAGACTGCATGCATGTGGAAGGTCGCTATCATATAATCTGAAGGCCATTAAGGTACACATGTCCTCAATAACTGTTTACTTTCCTATAGGATCACAGGCACTTGGAGCGTTTCAATAAAATATAATGCTAAATAAATACGAAAATCTATTTACGTACACGAAAGTCTTAATGTTTCTTTACTGCTCTTTTCGCCTATCATTGCCTGACAAATTTCCCTAGTAAATTCCCGTGGC